TTACCTTGATTGCTGAAACTGAAGAGGACCTGAAGAAGCGCTTGCTGCAGAAGGTCAAGGACTGCAGTCTTCAATAGGGATTGAAGCTCAACATCAAGAAAACAAAGATTCTTACCACAAGGCTGATTTGAAGCATCATAATAGATGGTGATGAGATTGAGATTGTTAACAGCTTTAGGTTGCTTGGCTCCACAATCAACACTCTTGGTACCAGCAGCCAGGAAATCAAGACTAATTGCAATGGGAAAGTCTGCTGACAAAGACCTCTCCAAAGTACTGAAAAGCAACGATGTCAGTCTGGAGACTAAGGTGCATATGATCCAGGCCATGATCTTTGCAATTACTTTCTATCCATTGAACTAGGGATGATAGAAGGAGAATTGATGCCTTTGAGCTGTAATACTGGAGAGGAATATTGAATATATCATGGACTACTAGGAGAACAAACAAGTTCATCCTAGAGAGGGTGATACTAGACCGCTCCTTGGAAACAAAGATTCTGAAGCTTCATCTGACATACTTTGGACATCTTGCAAGGTGGGACCTGTCCTTAGAGAAGAACATCATCCTTGGGAGAGTAGAGGGACAGTGCAATCCAGTGACTGGGGTAATCACCAATCCAACACGTATGTCGGAGACAATAAGATTGGCACAGGATAGAGAAGGTTTTAGGGATGTTATACATAGGATTGCTATGAGTCGCAGGAGACTCGACAGCACATAACAACAATAACAATTGCTCTCAGAAAGGCTGCTGTCAGAGACTTCTCAAAAGTCTGAAGAGCAATGATGTCAGTCTAGAAACTAATGTATGCCTGATTCAGGCCATGGTCTTCACAATTACTTGTTATACATCAGAGAGCTGGGCAATGACCAAAGATGATAGAAGTATTGATGCTTTTGACAAGTTGTGGTGCTGTAGAAGAGTGTTGAACATACCATGGACTTCCAAGAGAACAAACTGGTTTATTCTGGAGCAGATGAAACCAGGTTGCTCCTTGCAAGCAAAAATTTTGAAGCTCTGTCTCACATATTTTGGGCATGTAGCAAGGAGGAATCAGTACCTGGAGAAGGACATCATACTTGGACAGATGGAGGGTCAGCACAGGAGAGGTCAGCACAGGAGAGGTCAGCACTGGATGAGATGGATTGACACAGCGACTGGGGTAAATGGGGGTGGGGTGTCAGAGACAGTGAGACTGGCTCAGGATAGAGAAGGTTCAGAGCTGTTGTGCATAGGGTTGCTATGAGTCGCATGCACCTGAATGACACAAAACAACAACCATTCCTTACCAACTCTGAGAGCTTAAGGTCTTAGTCAGTTAGCGGGGCCAGGATAGAACTCCCTCCATCACCTGACTCCCCACTCTAAATGATCTGTGGCCTCTGCTCACACTGAGACATCTGGCTTTCCCCAGACAGATGCTGATCATAAAATATGAACAGTTAAAGAAAGAAGTAAGACTTTGTATATAAATATAATTATATGGCTGTTCTCCATACTTATTTTACATTTAAGCCTTGTTGAAAAGATAGCTTTTTCTTAGATTCAGTCTCCTTGCCTTCAGTCTTTTCTCATGCAAGTCCAAAATTAAGAAAGCTGCTTTTCCATATTTACATTTAAAAAGAAAAAAGAAAAAGAGCTTCATATATGAAGCCTCTGTTTTAAAATTTCTTTGTTTTCCCAATACCTATCTATGGACTTACTACTTATTGAAAATCTTTAGTTTATGGAAAAAGTCTTTTCATCAGGCTTCTGAGTAAATAACTTTCCAATCTTATCTCCTACCTACTGCCCACATACCTAAGCCTCTCTTTGCTGCTACAGCGAACAGGTTACACTTTTACACACACATATTGCTCTATCTACACTGTACAGACAGCCACACTGTGTCTGAAGTAACAGGTGGTATGAGACACAACTACCCACCGGCATCAACAGATGTTTGAGCGCTACATTCATCTGTGAAGGAGTCAGGTACATAAGACACTTGTTCAATGACAGAAAAGTGAAAGCCACTTTTGCAGTGAAACCTGTATGGACTGGAACTCAAGGAGACTGCTTTATTTATCCAGGTCTCACAAGTTTCCTGCCTCAACAGTCTTATTAATTTCTTATTTCTATTAATGGGAAATATTGGAGTTTTCCCTCTCTAAAAAGTTGTGGTGATAGAATAGGTTTGTTACTTGGAGTTTGCTTATTTCGACTTTTGGTTTGCTTGTTTTGCCATCTGCAGTAGATTTTACTAAAAATATATCTGATATCTATCTGAGAGCCTGGCATTCACAACCACTAAACTTGGCTACCAAGTTTCATTTTCATGGCCCCAAAGCACAGGGTAAAAGTTCACCTTGTTGTTGTTGTTAAGTGCCGTCAAGTCGCAGGCGACTCATAGCGACCCTATGAAGGGAAGTCCTCGACGCTTGGGTGCCTTTCATCCTCTCTCCATGTTCATAGGGTTTCCGGAGACAAGCTATTATGGAAGTGGATGCCATTCCTCCTTCCAAAAAAGTTCACCTTACAAACTATTTAATTAATTGAGGCTGTTGATACTATGAACTGTAACATTTTAGGACCATAATTAACTAAAACCATCAATAAGGAGATGGGCGGGGGAGGGGTGAGAAAGGAAATCATTTTTGCTTTTCCTTTAATAATTTTAGTTCATGTGTTAATCTTCAAACCCACCTATTTGACAGATTCTCATGTAGGTGTATCCTTTACAATATAAAATGTGATTCTGTAAATATTTCTAAGCAGCAGGGTGTGAATTAGGAAGGGTAAAAAAGGTTTTCCTAACTCTTTTACTAATTATACTCATAACTCCCCACATTTACTAACAAAACAATAAACTGCTCATTATTTTTGTCATTAATTGATAGTCATTATTATTTATTTAAGACTGTGTATGTTATTTGTACCTAAAAATGAAAGTGATTTGAGTTTGAAAAGAGTAGATGCCATCTTTACATCTTAGTGGATAAATACGTTGGGGGCAGGACGAAGCTTATTGTAACTAAAAGAGAATGAAGTCCTAAAACTTTGTATTTGCTTTTAATTTGTCGTTTTTACAATAAAACTTTAGTACAAGTTCTTTTAAAAAAAAACTAGAGTCTGGCTTTTCTTGAACCATTTTCTTGCTAATAATGAACACTGATAATGAATGCAGAGCCCTGCATATCATTATCTGAAGCAGTTGTGCATTCAGAGGGTCTACTTGGTGGTTGGTTTTCTTCTTAAAGAAGCTAAACAGTTCATTAAACAAGCTGCTTCTGAATGGTAGATCAGAGCAAGCATAAGCTGGCTTCTGTAGAACTCCATTGTGAAGCTGTACCATTTGTGCTTTCTTTGAAGCCATTAAAATGAAACCCTTATGCTCATATTAAAAGCATAAGAAAAGCATCCATTATGTCAATAGACATGGCCCTGGACACAGTGAAAACCACTCCAAAATGGCCCTGTTATAATAGCAAAGGTTAAGAAGTGCATTCCCGGGGGAACCTTCAAAGGTCTACATATCATTTTATCTCAAAACAGATGGCATCACAGTGTTTGGAACTATAGTTTATGGACACCTACAATCTCAAATAAATCCTTTTGAATCCCACTCTTTTGTCTAGGTTTTGTACTTTGATAACTGCCGGTGCCTTTCTCCTCATCATATCACTGGATGTGAAGATACACGTGCATATGTGGACAAAATTCTTAATAAATATAGCTTTTATTTAAATACAAGCAATGTATTTTATTAGTAATAGAGCTGTAGATTTTACAGAAACCTATGATTCCTAGATTCCAATCTATTTTAAATCCTCCAACTCTGATTTTTTAAAGAAAAATAGGATGATGAAGATATATATTGCTGGAAATATCAAATTATATAAGCCACTTTGGAAAACAATGAAGAATTACCTAGCATCTATCTGTATATATTAGAGAAACTCTCAAACACAGGCACCAGGAAATTCTAACAAGAACATTCACAACAGTATTGTTTACAGAAGCAAAAAAACAAAATACTCAACAGATTATCAATAGGATAATGGATATATATGAACTGTGATATCCTCAGACAATGAAATACAATACCTCAAACAAAACTAAGGAGCTGCTGCTACAGGAACCAACAGAGATGTATCTTGGAACAATACAGAGTGTAAAGGGGAAGGCCCAGAAAAATACAGTATGTTTCCATTTAAATGAAGTTGAAAGCATGCAAAATGGAGTAATGTGTTATTGTTATTTAGGGAAGGATATTGTTATTTAGACATATGCACACACACACACACTTTATATAGTTACATACTTAATATAGTTAACTTTAGTAAAACTATTTTGAAAAACAAACAAAAGAGAAGGAAAATATAAAATGCAAAAATGTTAGGATGAGGCAGAGAAGCAATGGAGGTATAAATGCTATTGTTCTAGTCTAAATAGCTATGTTCAAGTCTGAACCTGGGTTTTGAGTATGTTAGGATCCATTTTATGTTATTCTTTGTCACATAAAGAGTGTGTGTGCGTGCGCGCGCGTGCGTGTGTGTATGCATACTCATATAAAGGTTTATAAAATGTATTTATCGATAAGAATAGCTTTAAAAATGTCTATATCTCAAGTTGGACTGAAACCATTATTTTTCAGTTAAAATGCTGTGAAAGATCTACCATAGGTGTTACCAAAAAAAGGCGAGTTCATTCTTGTAATAATTTTAAAAAATATATATTTAAAAAATCTAGTGAGAAAAAGCAGGGTTGTACAAATGTGAATAAAAGATGAAAGTGAAAATTTTCCACGATGACTTGCTATAAATATCACATATCAAATTCTATTTTCTATTTTACAAGAAAATTGTCCACATATATTTGATAATTTCTAAAAGTTCTTAACAGTTCTAAAATTCACTTCAAAATGTCATCCACTAAGAAAATATGCAAATTTACCTATAAAAATTTTTTATAGAACATAATTTAATTACAAAAAGTTTCATCTTATAGAATTTACCTGAAACCGCACAAAGGCTGTGAGATTGCGGAAGATGATTCTTCCTGATGTCCTTTCTGTATATAAGATGCGGCTTGTTGTGATCATCTTCATTCTCACTCCCACCTGCCTCCATTACAGGTTCCAAGAAATAGTCACCATCACTCGCTTTAAATGTTCCAATCTGAAAATAAGGACAATAAAAATTAACTTCTTTCAAAATAATCATGAAGAAGAGAGGGCAATTTGTGCCTCCAGTTAAAATGTGCAAGCAGAAGCAGACCAGCCGACTGGTTTTCATTAAATGTCATCAATAAGCGTAACTTTTTCTCCTTTCTACGGCTCACTTTTTTTCCTCTCCATGTTCATGAATAAAGTTATGAAGGCTCGATAATATTGCCATAGGTGATGCAACGGCAAAAACAGTAAAATGGAAAGCAATCCCAGCACATTTCCAGTAAGGCCTGCTTCACTTAGTCTAAACAAAATAGCATAAGACAAAATTTATGTCAGACTCTCTCAAAAACTCATTCATGTCTAACAGGAACCAACGCGTTGCTAACCCTCTAGCGGAAGCTGTAAATCACATGGGAGAAGACTTCTATCTTCCCACCATCACTACCACCCCCTGAGCCCCAAGAGTTGCTGGTGGATTCCAACCACCAGAAAGGTGCTGCCTCTGGGTCAGCAGTGCAACTCCCTACAAACTACATCACCAGAATCCCCCAAAGGTAAACTAGAATGCGATAAAAAGAGATCTTTAAAGTGACGCTGGGAATTTGGCATTTATTTACATAGTAGTAGTTTGCTAAAAATTTTAACAAAGATATCTTTTGAACTATAGACAGCATCCAACTTGCCACGGAACATCTCTACTAGTTAACTAGTTGCATTCTCGTTATTACCATGCCCAAAGTTAAACCCTTGATTTCCCTTCCAAAACTTGCTGACCTTACAAGGTTTATGTTTTAGTAAATGGCAACAGCACCATTCAGGTTGCTCTGACGGAATAAATGTTAGATATAAATCATAGAGCTCTTTTCTCTCTCACTCCATATCTGCAAGCTTTGCGAGCTCAACCTGTTAAGTCTAATTAAAACCAAACCACCTCTAACAAATTTCATCGCTACTACCAAGATCCAAGGATAGGGCAGGGTTCAGAATGGCTGTTCACAGGGTCTCTATGAGGTGTAGTTAACATGATGGAACCTAACAACATCAACAACCATGATCTAAAACACAGGGTTCAAATCTACCCGCTTCTCTCAGAGGAACAAAGATGAACAATCTCCTCCCATGTGATTTATAGCTTCTCAAAACCAACTGGAAGATAAGCTATGAGTTTCCTCCAACTCAACTGCATGTAACAACCACCACTATGATCTAATCTAATTAACAATCTTCTTTCCTAAACCAAACTGTAGACAGTTTCCATAAAGGGGTCAGGTAATTTCTCTAAGCCTGAATCATTGTCACTCTTCTGGTGGGGCGGAGGAAGCTACTAAAAACACATTCTAGTGATTCTATATAACACTGAAAGTAAAATTCAGTTTTTCCTTTAAATATATATATATATATATATATATATATATATATTCCTTTAAATATATACATATATATTCCTTTAAATATATACATATATATTCCTTTAAATATATACATATATTTTCCTTTAATAATATAATCAGCCTTCAATATTCTGTATCATCTCCTCACTCCTCTACAACATCCCATGGCTCACTCCACAGCTCACTCCTGGTATCTTTACCATGTATGAAATACAACTGAGATCTGTGAAAATCTATAAGTTCTATAACACACTCCAGTGTCTCCGGATATACAAGCAAGTCATTCATTTGAGAGTATTTCACACAAATAGATTTCCACCATGATTTCTGAGAATGATTCTATATACATCTGTTGTGCACTGGCAAAGTAACATGCAATTATTAACTACAGTATTTTTTTTTCTTTTTTTTTATTTTTTATTATTTTGTGTGCGTGTACCGTCAAATCAGATCTGACTGGTACAGGAGGATATTGCGCCTCCTTCTCCGGCAGAGCATCTGGTGGATTCGAACCGTGTTCCTCTGGGATTGCAGTGCAGCGTCTTGAAGAGTATTGTTTTTAATAGTAAAATCTTAGAACCTATTCAGAAGTCCATGGATAGGATCCATATGAAGAAACTACAGTACAGACATAAAAAGCAGGGATCTGAAAAGATTGGGTAATGACAGGTATGATTCAATGGTGATTGAGTTTATAAAACTAATGCATGGGAATGATTGTATGAAACACAACAGGAAATGAAGAACAGTGTCAAACACTGGAACACAATGTACATGAACTTTGTTAGGAAACCAATATAAAAGAAATTAATTTTAAAAAAATGGAATACCATCGTGTGAAACAAACAAAAAAGAGAAAAAGGAAACATTCTATACAGAGGGAAAAAATATCTAACACAAACTATTAAACGAAAATATAAAACAATAAATAAGGATATATAACTTACTGGTGTGAACTATAGTTAGTTTTCTTCCTTAACTAACCTGTGTATTAAAGAAGAAAAGCACAAATATTTTTATTTGTTTTTAATGCTGCTAAGTGATTCTAGAAGAATTTCATAGAAATGGTGCAGATGGAAGTGAGAAACTGGGTGCATAGAGGAAGGATTGAGTACAGCACTTTCCTTATCTCAGATTGTTTCTTTTGCCTAAAATTCTCTCTCAATCCCAAATCCTACCTCTGACTCATCACTTGGCCTGGCTGGCTCCATTTCATCCTTCAAGTCTCAGCTTAAATAGTAATCACCCAGAGTGCTCTTTCTTGACAAGGTGTCAAGGTAACCACACCCCTACCAACTCAAAATACTTGAGACAAACAAAAACAGTGCCATCAATTGGATTCCAACTCAGAGTGATGCTGCAGACAGAATACAAGTAAGTGCCTGCAGGGTTTCCAAGGCTGTAAATGTTTATGGGGGCCATCTCAGCTTTCTCCAATAGCGGGGGAGTTAAAATCACTAATATTTTGGTTTGCAGCAGAATTCCTTAGCCATTACACCAACAGCTACTTAATTTCTTTTTCAAAAATGTTTAGTTTTAATTTCTTGCAATTAATTTATTTTAATTTGACTCTGATTTCCCTACAAAGTTCATATACATTGCCCTCATCTCTTGTGTTTATATATTTGATTGCTATTTACAAACATTGTTCTCCTTGAGACAAGTGGCTTCATAAAGAAGCCTCAGCCTGGATTCTCATTCCCTTAGACAGTAGCAGGGAGCTCTGGTGGCTTAGTGTTAAGGAGTTGCACTGCCAACCCAAAGACATATGGTTCAAATTCACCAGCCGCTGCATGTAAGGAAACTGAGCAATCTATTCCTGTGCAATTTATTGCCTCTGAAAACTCTTTACGAGTTGATTCCGACTTGACAATATACAATAACAACAACAATGCAGTACCAGGAGTCCTGGTGGTGATGAGGTTAAAGCACCTGGCTGCTGGTGAAATGACTGGCAGTTGAAATCCAACAGCCAATCCACAAAAGAAGGATGAAGCCTTTGGATTCCTAAGATTCACAGCTTTGGAAGCCCTATGGAAAAGTTTTATTCTGTTCTCTGAGGTCACTGTGGTTAAGAGTCAACTGATAAGAATGATTTTCTGGTTTAATACAGTACCCAAGACACAGGAGACATGAAGCCAAAAAAATATTTGTTGAACCATGAAAGTTCATCATTTCCTATTTTTTGTAAGGTCAGTTTATGTTAACAGAAGTCAAAACATAACTTTGGCAGCAGAGACTGTTTATGAAAATTAATAAAATATAATTATAGAAAAAAAATCCAATTATGAGGTACCTGGATTATAGTATTGCAACTGTTCTTCTGGCTGAGAAGGAAAAAATATCATTCCAGAACTATCAATATCTCCTTTTAAGTGTATTATAGCACTCTAGGGAGCTCTGGTGTCCTGGTGGTAAAGTAGCTGCACTACTAACCCACAGGCATGAAGTTCAAATCCACTAACTGCTCTGCAGGAGGAAAGTTGTTTCCCATGTGATTTACTGCCTCTGAAAACACCCACTGGAGGGTCAGCTATGGGTCAATTCCAACTCAATAGTACAGAACAACAATAACAACATATCTCTTTAATTGTTGTTGTTGTTATGTGCCATCGAGTCGCCTGCGACTCATAGTGACCCTATGTACAACAGCCCTAAACTCCACTCTGTCCTGTGCCAATCGC